CTGACCTCAAAAATATGGCGGACAGTCATGAATAGCGAACACTGATTGGTCCAATTTAAAGTTTGGATAAACGACTGCATCACGACAGCGAAATAGCAAACATTTCTTGATTTGATGATTTATGTCTTTTATGATTGATAAATTTCTTGCGAATATATTTCATTTTTACTCGCATTTTTGCTATATTTTATAAATTTCAAAAGCTCTCTCAGAAAGAAACTGCGAAAGAACCGGCTAAAAGAAGGGAGCCGACGTTAACGAAGGTAAGTTTGTTTTAAATATTGATTTTATAATGGCTTTAAAACCCGAAGGCCTTTGCGTATATGAAACAGCTAAACAAGACAGAATATAATTTCAGTGTATCTTTAATATTGATTCCCTTTTTATTATATTGAATTTTTTAAATAAAAAAGAAAGCAAAGTTATTTGCAAGCGAGAATTTGAAATCATTTTATTGGAAACTCAAAGTTTATCGATAAAGCCATTTAATTGAAGGCAGTTTAGTTAAAGAGCACTGCGAAGCGTTTGTGATTGAATTTTACCTTGAATTGTGGCTTATATTACGTATAATAACATACCTAACATATATATGTTGGGAAATTAATAATTTTGTAATTAAAAGTGATATTTTTAGGCGATTTTTCATTTGTAAGAATATTCTTAAGAAATTATCGTGTTACCATGACAACTACTTTAGAACTTCATGTTCGGAAAATACAATGGTTTTGTCAGCAAGGCGAGGGTTTCTGCATGCATGTATATTCTAGTAGTCTTGTTAAAATCCCCATTAAAAACTCTACTTAGAGTGTTATTTGCAAGCCCGTATCTTCAAATCTGTATCTTTTATCAATATATTTCCATTTCTTGCCCGACTGTGAGCTCGAAGTGAGTTAATCCCAACCGGAAATACGACTGAAAACCGTCAAAACAATGCGAAGCTTGTATTGTATGACCCTGCAAAGGCCAGAAATGATTCGCAAGGTCGAATTGCACCTACACTGCGTGAGTTTGACGTCATCCCGGCCAAAGGAGCTTCTTATTGGCCAATTATTGCGCAATGTACGCAAGTGCGAGTAAAACCCGACATTTTGAAAAATTCAAAATAAATATTTCTAGTCGGCGTATACATACGAAACTTTCTACACGAAAGCGCTTGAATACAAAGAGTATTTTACACATTTGGCCGTTCAGCAAATGACAAAATGTTCAAGAGGTATTCAAGATCTTTTCTATATGAAATTTAGAATCTTTGGCCAAGCGGTGAGTAAATATATGATTGTTTCGGTTTGTATAATGTTCAAACGGCACTTGACCCCTCGTTTGAAAGGTTATTTTGTGAGGATTACAATGGTGGTATTTATTTATAAGGGGGTAAATACTTACCGAGATATTTATATTAGAAAAATTGTGTAGTAATATGATGCGAAAGGGGGTGGTCGAAAAAGATTAAATTGAAGCTTATATTACGTATAATATCACAACTAACATATATATGTTGGGAAATTGATAATTTTGTAATTAAAAGTGATATATTTAAGCGATTTTTCATTTGTAAGAATATTCTTAAGAAATTATCGTGTTACCATGACAACTGCTTTAGATACTTCATGTACGGAAAATACAATGGTTTTGTCAGCAAGGCGAGGGTTTCTGCATGCATGTATTTTCTAGTTCAGAATTTAAGCCGTGTTTATAGTACGAGTCTAGGCATGTACGTTATATAGTCAGTGGGAGGGGTAATCCCCAAATTTGTGTCACTTAGGATACCAATAGTTCAGTGGCATTTCAATACTCAGAGTTCAATATTATCAATATAGGGTTCTCAGCATATTTTTTTCAATAAGTCAACAGGCTAAAAGGTAGTGGCATGTTATTCAATTTTATAAAGGTAATTTGTTATTTGAAATTAATGTCATGTGATTTTAGTATGGTTCCCAACCAAATTCAGACGATTTATTAATTTCATCTTTATTCAAATGAATAATAGACCAACTTAACTCAATATTGCCCATTTCAATTATTATTTACACTTTTAAGAAATGTAACCTTTAGGTTTCATATATTGCGATGCATGCTAATCAGAATACATTGCTTCGTTACCTGAATTTCCAATATAACTTAACTAAAAAGAACTAGCTTCCTCTTGAAAGTGTAAATAAAGAAATGGGCAAATTGCATATCAAATTAAGTTGGTCCCTAAGCTATTCAGCGCACCCTGACTCTGCTATTTCACGATTGGTTCGAAAATACAGCCCAGTCAAAACATATTAAATATTAAATACAGTTTACTTAAAATTATAACAATAAATAGGACATGATCATATCGAAACAAATGATAGCTCGTAAGGGTGTCACGAATTTTGATTTTGTTACCTCTGGAAATTATTCGATTTACTCCAACGAAAAACAATTCCCAATTTCCAATTCACGAAAAACAATTCCCAATTCCAAAGCACGATAATTTCACAGCTAAAACTAACAAAACGACAACATCTGCAGCTAGCTACGCATGCAGTATAATTAGGCTGCAACAAGCTTTCACGGGCACACATCAATGCAATAAATTATAAATTGCATATCCAATAACAATTTGCATATTGTTTTTGAGAAAACCCGTACTTGACTTTAGAAAACCCGGACACGAAACTGATGAACACGGAATCGAAATTGAGAAAACTCGCATTCGACTGTAGTATTTACGCTCAATAATACTAACATCAGAGTTTGCAGTAACACAATTGTCATAAACAACGTATACAACCATTTAATGTCTATTAGATACGCAGTTCGACATGAGATAAAGACATTTAAATGGATACAAACTGAATAGAAAAACAGCGATTCGGTATTTCGGTTATGTAATAAAATTATCAAATACCAAGCGCAAGTCGCACAGATACTTCATGATTACTACACGGAAGAAACAGAATCAAAAAGTCCAACGATTGCAGTTGACTTTTCTTCTCTACGAAAAAAAGCGGAGAATCTCCCAAGATTTACATTGCATAAAACGAATGCCACGGAAGTAAGGCAAGTAATGCGAGGTATTAACTCTCTTCTCCGCAGAGCCTCCTTAAGTATTTAAAAATAACTTACATGAAGTTTCCTGAATAAAAGTGGGCGCGCGCGGTGTGATGGGAAGATTGAAATGAAGCTGGGGAGGCTCTGCCAGATAATGCAACGAAGTATGATTTTTATAACAAACGTACTTGCAGGGAGGTGAGTCCGGTGCAGGGAGGTGCGTCCAATCCCGGACTCACCGAACCTGCAAGTACGTTTGGTTTTTATCCCATACACCGAGCCATACACACATTTGTAGCTATTCGCGATATATTCGTCGATGTTTTGTGAACATTTTCCCGGCCAAAAAATCACTGGGCAAGAAAGTACTTCTTTATCTACGTCTACATTACCTTTACTGCATTTTTTTCTTTGGTTTTTCTTCAGTCTCAGTATGTTAGTCACCGCGCCGAAAAAAGTGCTTTAAAGTTTAGGTTTATCGGCTAAATCTTGTCCGCCATATTTGTTATTGTTATTGCAACGTAAGCAGTTTAGCGGATGAGTTCGGGCGAAAAGCAGGTGAGTTCGGCAAAAAGCAGGTGAGCTCGACAACAAGCTCACCTGCTCTAAACCAAACGCAGGTATGGGATAACGAAACTTAACGCAGGTATGGGATAATGAACCAAAGTAGTTGTTTGATTTTTTAAAACTTGAAATCGACGGAAATGTGGAAGAAATTGAAATAAATCTTTATAATCTGAGTATAGAAGTTCAGTAGAGTCATTTTTATAACGAAATGTTGCAATTTAGAGGATACTTATAATTAGATAATTCGTATCCATTTATATTAATTTGCAATTTCTCAATATTTTTCGGTGCAAATGGACAGAAGAAGACATTGACATTGGATTCATTCAATGAGACACAAGCACGCCTAAAAAGGAAAGTGGAAAACATGTTTTAACACCCTCGATAGTTGATCGAACCGAACTACAAACGATTATATATATACGACGCCATATTTATTGCATTAACTAGCAAAGGCTTCCTTTATTTAGCTCTTGCCATCACTCCTTGCGCGCTCACTTTTCCCTAACTAAAAACTTCATGTAAGCCTCTGCAGAGGAGAGAGCGGTATTAACGTGAACAAAGCTACCGGATACGACGGAATACCTCCGAGAGTCATCAAAGCATCATCTGACGCGTTATGCCTCCTTCTTAGTAAGAGTTATAAACCGAGTAGGAGGTTTATAACTGATATATTGTTATAGTTTATAACTAACATATATATATTGTTATAGTTTATAACTAACTTATATCACACTTGCGGAGGTTTTCCAACATATTTTGTCATTTTCAAAAAATTTTGATGAAAAATTCTCGCGTTTTGTCTACAAGTTTAATCCAATCATTTATTCATGGTCTATAAGCTAGTTATAAACCTCGGACGAACAAAGAAAACCGACGCAAGTGTGATATAAGTACACATATTAATCATTGCTTAGGTACATCATAAATACCTGAACAATGGGAATTAGGAGAAATTGTTCCGTCCTATAAGAAGAAAAGTGCTTTAAACAAAGCAAACTATAGACAAATAACAGTTCTCTCTTGTCTCTTCAAAATATTTGAACGAGCTGTTCGTTCATAATAGATTAAGTCCACATTATGAAAATATATTCCATCGCAACGTATTAATTTGCTTATAGGAAAAACATAAGCTGCGAAACGGCCTTAGAATACTTGACAGAGCGATGGAAAAAGGACTTGACGAAGGGAAAGCCATATGCATATTTTCAATGGACCTCTCTAAGGCATATGATTCAATACCAGAACCTGAAAGCCTACGGCGCTGACAACCAAGTATACAACTTATTGCGAAATTATTAGAAAGTCGACACCAAAGAGTTAATCTAGGTGATGAATATTCTCGGTTCAAAAAAATCAAAAGAGTGCGCCACAGGGATCTATCCTCTGCCCACTGCTGTTCAACGTCTTTTATGAACGACCTCGAACACGCAACAAGCAGCTCCGATCTAGCAACGTACGCAGACGACACACAGGTGTTCCATGCCGACCGAGAATTAGAAAATATTGAGAAAGTTATCAACGAAGACTTAAAGAATAGCGACGAATGGTTTAAGAACAATGACGTGACAAGGAACAAATCAAAATATCAGAGCATGGTCTTGGGCAAGAAGAAGAAAGTATTTAACCAAGACGCCAATCACATTTCGATGTGAAGACATCATTATCCCTCACTCTGAACAGACGGAACTACTTGGAATTCTACTTGATAATAAACTGAAGTTTAATGATCTCATTAAAAAAATATGCAGGAAGATCAGCCAGCAGATAGCCGTCCTACAAAGAATGAAGAAAATGTTGCCTTTCCGCACAAAAAGACATATATTCTTCCTTTATTCTGCTTCATTTCAATAACTGCTCTGAGGTATGGAACACTTGCACAGCACGAAACAGCGCTAAGCTAGAAAAAGTCAACGAAAGAGCCTTACGATTTGTCTTTAACAAAAAGTCTTCATGATATGAGATACTTTTGCAATGTTTGAATCTAAGGACCTTAGAATAGCACCGCAAATTTAAAATTCTAATCTCAACTTTTAATATAGTCAACACAGAATCAACACCAGAGGTGAATATTAATAAAGGTAGTTCCAGACATCATCCGCGTGATAAGCGTGGAATTTTCGTGGGTCGGCAAAATATGAAACAAGCCACTGGAATATAATATTTTATTACTGTCTTCAAGGTACTCTTAAACTGTCACCTAAATTTATGTCAGACCCATCAATTTTACCAAATTCACATGTCTGTCTTTTATTAGTGCGGACAGTTACGAGTTGTTTTATGTGACATCCGAACTCTACTTGATTGTTTTAAAAAAGTTTTTATACCAATTTTAACAACAAAGCCAATTATAGTGTTTCCAATATTTTTTCGTACTTAGAGCATTATCTGTTCATTTGAAACAAATAAAAAAGTTTCTGTTTCATATATGTAGGCCTAAAACTGGAAATGAAAATTACTAAAAAGAAACAACTAGCGTTATGATGTACACGCATGCGCATATAGTGACCATGTCGAGACGATATTTTGACTGAAAATTAACCGAAGGATAAAAATGTATTGTCGTTTGATTGTGAAATGAAATAATAAAATAATAAAAGTGAAAAGTGTAATATGAAATAATAAAAGTGAAAATAAAACGACGTGGTTGCCATGGCAAAACGAACACTCTTCTTATTTGTTTATATATCCACAGCACAAGACTTCTGAACCCTCTTGGAAATGATCATACTGCTTTAAGTCTATTCAATATAAATATGAATAAAAGCGAAGGTTACTTAAAATACTGAAGTTTTAGAGAACTGTAGAGGACCAGTTAAAGAGTTTACTGCAAATGGGGGTGGGGGGGGGGGGGAACCTGTTGATAAAGGCTTCATCAGTTTGATATTAGCC